AAAAAAAAAAACTTATGACATTGGGAGTATTAATGTCACTTAGACAGTAAGGTCAGATTAAGACAGATGAATTAATTTATCCAGAAGTGTATTCAGTTACACAACAGAGATAGAATTCCAGGCCTAGTTTGTGTGGTTCCCCTCTCTGCATGATTCCTCCTAAACTTTTGTCTGTTTATTTGGTAAGCAGGGAGAAGCTTCCCTAAGTCTTAGATCTTCGGTATATGTTTTGGCATGCTAGAGATTTGTTTATAAACTAAGAATCAACCATGTAGTAAGATCAAAGTCAAAATAAAGTATTTAACAATAAAATAAGGAAACTCCTCAAGATTAAATTATATTTTAATGGTCACCCACCTGATTTTGAGGGTTGCGATGGCCACAAACTAAATTATTCTCCATTCTTTTAATTTTTTTGTGGGTAAGTACCAGAGGCCATAGCATGAAAGGAAATATACATGCAATGCAAGTTTTAGATGTCTGTTTTTGGTTAAATTTCCTTCTTAAAAATAGCTGCTTTTTGTGGAATAAATCATCTTTGACATTAGCTGTAGAAACTGGATTTAGAAATAATGTTTCATATAACATTTTTTCAACTCTTATATTAAGAAAGAAATTAATAATAGGATAACAAAATAATAAATTAGAGCTAGGGACATGCTATATGCGTTTTTCCACTGGTCAAACAATTATACATGTACCACGTTCTCCAGGCCATGAAAGCAATCAAATGATCAGGTTAGGTTCTGATCACAATACTGAATTTCACAGGTTGTGTATTGCCTTTAATTATTTTATGGAAAATGGCCCAAAAGAAATCATCCTTCATCTCCCAGTGAAACATTATTCAGGCATTCAAGAGGACACTTCTAGGTAAAGATGATTTACCACCATCTTTTGATAACCAGTGTGCATAATTTTACAACAGCAAATGCTGTAGCCCTATCCATCAATGTTTTTCCTCATTTCCTTTATCCCCTTGAAATTAAACATTTAAGAATAAACAACCCATTTCTCCTTCCTTGATATGCTTTAGTGTTTTTAAAGAAGGGGACTATACCTTTTGCTCAGCACAATTCTAAGTATTCTAAGTAATAATAAAAAAAAAACTCATGTAAATGTTTCTTGCCTTTAAAGAATGTGCAAGTCAGGAAAACAACACCTATATAAACAAGATACCTGTTGAACAGCTTGGCCATCCTAAAACCATGCCAAGTGTAAAGCTATATATACAATGTCACTGTAGAGAGGTGTTGGTAAGAGCAGAAAGGATGTGTAAGTATCTTGAGATCTGGGCTAGAGCAAGGGCTACTGTATCAGCACTTTTTGGGAACCTGTTGGAAATGCTGATTCCTGTTAAATCAGAAACTCTGGAGGGGAGTCCACAGTTTGCAGTCTAACAAATTCTCCAGGAGATTCTGATGCAGCTAGTGTAAGAATCACTGCTGTAGATGATAAAGAATAGGTGACATTTTGTTCATATAATTATGTATCATGATGTACATGAAGTAGGAATAAAAATAAATCCTCAAATAATTTGGGGACTTCGTTATTGATAATCTTTGATGATGATTAGTTACTTTTTACAAAACCTCCTGCTAATTGGAAAAAAATAAGATTGGGTCATCAGAGAAGTAAGAGGAGAAATTTTTACCAAAGTAGTTATGTAATCCCAGATTTGTTTTTTCTACTATTTGACAACTGCCCTCCTCCATCTATATACAGAAGAGCTAAACTACAGATTTGCTTAGCAAGTCACATATGACAGTACCTGGAAGTATGGGAAGGTACGTGGCCTAAAGACTTACAGATATGCCATGGTCCTCAGATCATCAGAATCAGTTGGACTTCTGTTAAAACCAAATGCTGGGCTCCACCATCCGGAGTTTCTGATTCATTAGGTCTGCAGGAGGGCTTGAAATTTTGCCCTTTGAAGTTCCCACATGAACTGAAGCTGAGCTGGCTGATGTGGAGGCCATACATGAGAACCGATGGCTTGGGTGAATCCTCCTGACTAAATATGAATGTTAAGTTTAGGTATAGTCATTGCAGTATTTCCCTGTTGTATTAGGTCCTGACACATCCCTTTAATTTTTCAGACTTTTTGACCTACAGCTTCTAAACTTAGTGGATCCTACATATATCTTTGTTTCTCTTTGGTATTTTCATAAGCTTTTCTGTAGAACCCCAATGGCTAGCAGCACCTCCCCCTCCCAATTTGGTTAATTTACAGGAAAACATTATTCTTTGCTTGCTCTGTTGTCAGCTGTCAGCTTGTCAGCTAGTGTTTGTAAGTACAATTGGAACAGATGAACTATTTGGCTTGAGTTGGTATTTCACTGTGCTTATGAAATGCAAGAATTCATGAAAGTGGGAGAATCCATGTTTCTATAATGTGATATGGTTAAATTTTTTTTTTTCTAAGTGCTGATTATGTTAGCCAGGTTTTATTTGTTCTTCTGTGATTCATTTTCTACGGTTTTGGGAAATTCATTAGAATATGAAACTATGGAAAACAATGTTGGCATGTGCATCAGTACATTTATTCCAAGACTCTTTCACCCTTAGACCTATTTCCACTCAGGCATTTGAAGCATTTACAAGAAAAAGGCTTTTGCTCTCCTTTCTTGCTCTCATGTAGAATGAAGTGTTGGTACGAAAAAAAGTGTGGCATAAATGCAGAGGACTTTGCTTGTTATGATGCAATACTTTGCTGAACAGAAGACAAAATCATGGCTCCTAATGACCGTTAGGTTTCAAAAAGCCTAAATGTTGGAGGGTGTGCCTGTGTGTGTATTTTAAGAGGCTTATTCCCCCTCTCCCCGCCCTTTATTATACTGCCCCTGATAGTTTAATAGCTGTACTGATCTGTAAATATTATACATTTTAGGAACAAATTCAGCTAATATTTATTGTTAAGTATGAATAGATACTTTTAACGTACACTGGCAATTTGGGAAAAGTCTTGAGGATGCAAAAGGGTGGGTATCAAATAAGATGCTTGAATAATTTGAGCATAGTATTTTAAAGGCATATAACTAAGAACTATGTTAGTTTTTACAGCCATCTAAAAATAAATATTTTAGTGTTAATTTTAAAGAGGCGGATACTAAGGTAAAGTCTCAAATAATTTCAAGTAATAACTTATAAGTAACTCCATTTTTAATGAAAGCTTTATTTTGGTTTTAAAATGCAACTTTTGGGTGGCAAGGTTAAATTAGAATGATCAATTCTGATAGATCCAGAAGAATGATCCAATCCATTGGCTCCATTCCAAGAGAATGATCACCTTTAAAGTAAAAAGTAAAATAAAAATAAATACGAAAGGATTGATGTAAACCTTGATCACATTTCCTTTGGCAATGAAAGTAATGTCCTACTCTCATAAGAATGAGTGTACAGTATCAGAGTTATTTTATAAATTAACTCAATTATCTGCTACCATAATAGATTTGATATTTATATAGTCACTTCATGAATTCCATAATAAGTTATTTGATGTCAGGAAGAGTTAAAATCAATAATCCAGAAGTAATTTTTAAATTTCATATGTATTTTATATAATCCATTTCTATATTTTATTTCTCTTATTGAGTACTAGAAGGCTTTTAAATTCTAGATACTAATTTGCTAACCCTTTGTTATTACATGCAAGTTTATTCTAATCTGTAGTCTGTCTTTAGACTTTTAAAATATCTTTTGATAAGCCATTATATTTTTAGTAGTCAGATAATCAAAATTTATTATGGTTTGTTTTATTACATTTTACTTAAAAAATTATATTCTCTGCCCCCAAATTATAAATATAGTTTCTTATGTTTCCTTCAAAAGGATTTAAAATTCTGTTTTTCATACCTTGGTCTTATTTCCTCTGTGTGTGCATGTGTGTGATTATTCGGTTTTAATTTTTTTAATTATATTTAATAGTCCAAGTACCATTTGCTGCAGTTACAGTTCCTTTCCAGATACTGAACTTATTGAAGGCAGTTTTGGGCTCCCTTTTCTGTTCCACACTGATCTTTTATCTCTCCCTGGGTTGGTATACACTCTTAAGTCCCTGGATATGTGTTCAGGAACAAATTCATTTCACCCTCTTGGTCTTCTCCTAAATTGTCTTGGCTATTCGGTAATTTGTTTTTCTGCTTAAATCCTATAATCATTTTGCCACATTACAACAAAAATCTTCTTGGGATTTCTTTTGAAAATGCGTTAAATTTTGATTAATTTGGAGACATCTAACATCTTTGTTCTATGAAGACTTTATAGCTTCAAGACTGTTAATGAGTTTTTTTTATTATGTTAATCACCATACATTACATCATTAGTTTTTGATGTAGTGTTCCATGATTCATTGTTTGTGCATAACACCCAGGGCTCCATGAAGAACTTGCCCTCTTTAATACCCATCACCAGGCTAACCCATCCCCCCACCCCCTCCCCTCTAGAACCCTCAGTTTGTTTTTCAGAGTCCATCGTCTCTCATGGTTCATCTGTTCCTCCGATTCCCCCCCTTCATTCTTCCCCTCTTGCTATCTTCTTCTTCTTTAAAAAAAAAAAAAAAAGAATAAGTTCTTCTATCCATAAACAGCATATATATTTCCATTTATTTAGGTATTTTACCTAATTTGTTAATAGAAATCTATAATTGTACCTAAAAACATCCTGTACTATTGTTAGAATTTTTCTTTGATATTAACTAAGTAATAGCAAACAAAATTTTGAATATTTATTTTTATTGAAGTATAGTTGACATACAATGTTACATTTTTTTTATTGAAGTGTTATAGACAATTCCAGGTGTACAACATAGTGATTCACCAATTCTGTATCAAGTATAGTTGCCATCCGTGACCATGTAACTTACTACTAATAATAACAACCTAGAAGTAATTTTTCTGTTTGTATCTAAGGTACTTTAATATTTAATGTTATATATTATTATTTTATAAGTATGCCTGAAAATGGAATTCTCTCTTTTTTTTTTTTTTTATCTTCAAAAGGGAGAAGCAGGACCTCCAGGTGCTCCAGGTCAGGATGGATCACGAGGAGAGCCTGTGAGTACCTTTTGAATTCAGTTCTAAAGACTGAAGTTCTTTTCCTGTCATAAAATCCTCTATTTAAATACTCCTCTCAGGTTCCCTGTGCTTTGTTCAGTGACTTCCAGACTTAGAGGTTATAGCAGCTCTTTGTGGAACATTGTAAAATATTGAAAAATTTAATCGTTTTTTACAAAACAGGAAGAATGTCACTAGCAGAAGATTCACATGCAGTATAAATTACAATCATGAGTACTTGTGCCCACACAAACAAATGGCTAATACGAACAACATGGTCTGTTTCTGAGCCTTCAGTGAGTGTCGCTTTGCCCCTGGTTCATTGTTTTGTAGTATGCCCACTGGGGTCATGTGTTCAATAAAAATTGGCATAAGGAAAAATGATTGAGAAAGTACTGGATCTGAATCCTGGATATATGTGTTTTCAGCAAGTGTGCCAGATGACTCAACTTCACTTGCCATTTTCCCCAACTTTTATTCCTACAACTCATGGCCAACATTGGCCAACATTGAAATACCTGCTGGTCTCATTTTATTCATCAAAGTAACTTAAGGGGAATTTAAATTTAGGGGAATTTGCAGCTTATTTTGGGGATGACTAGGTTAGGAAATTTAAAAATAGCCAAGATACATTGCATTTTTTCACAGTGTTCAGGTGAGTACTCAGAATTCAAATATTGGACAAAGAGGGAGAGCAGAATCACCAAAGCTTTTTAAGTTGGGTGAATGGATTGACTTACTCTTAGAATCATTCAATCAAATATTTTTTGAGTTCTCTTCTTGTGTATTATAATGCACTGGGGCAAGTTCTCTATGTAGCTACTGCCTTCACAGAGCTTATAATCTAGTTCAGAAGACAGCAAAAAAAATGATGCAAGTAATTACCAACCTGAGGCAGTTTATAGTAAGTGCCGAATAGGGAATTTAACATGGAATTGGAAGGCCAGGGTTTAAAGATAATTTCTGTTACATTCCAGCTGTGCAAGCTTGGGTAAATCAGTTCACATCTCTGAAAACCTTTCTCCTTATCTGTGAAGTGTACATACTTACGATATCCACTTTGCTGTGTTGTTGTGAGGCTTTCATAGGAAACATATGGAAAAAAACTATGAAAACATTGCACAAATGCATAGAGTTCTCCTAAGCGCAGAAAGAATATAGGTGGGAATACAAACTGGCACAGCCACTGTGGAAAACAGTATGGAAGCTACTCAAAAAATTAAAAAAGTAGAACTACCCTATGATCCAGGAATTGTACTACTGGGTATTTACCCAAAGAATATGAAGACACAAATTCAAATAGCTACACGCACCCCAATGTTTATTGCAGCATTATTTACAATAGCCAAATTATGGAAGCAGCCCAAGTGTCCATCGACTGAAAATGGATAAAGAGGTGATTTTATCTATCTATCATCTATCTATCTATATAGGTATAGATATATGAATATTATTCAGCCATAAAAAAGAATGAAGCCTTGCCATTTGCAACAACATGGATGAAGCTAGAGAGTATTATGCTAAGCAAAATAAGTCAGAGAAAGACAAATGCCATGATTTCACTCATGTGGAATTTAAGAAGCAAATAAAAGGGAAAAAAAAAGAGAAAAATCAAGAATCAGACTACTACAGACAACAACTTAATGAATGCTAGAGGGGAGAGTGGAGGGGGATGGGTTAAATAGGTGATGGGGATGAAGGAGTGTACTTATGATGAGCACCAGGTGAGGTATGAAATTAATGAATCACTGTATTGTACACCTGAAACTAATATAACACTGTGTTCACTAACTTGAATTAAAGTAAAAACTCAAAAAAAAAGAATGTAGAAAGGGAATCTTGTATCTTGAGGTGATCGAGAAGTTTCTATCAAGGATTTGGGGCTAGATTTGATCATAAAAGGATGACTGGGAAAGAAAGGAAGACCAGAGGGAGGAGCATGAGTGAAGACACACAGGTAGGATGGTTAAGTGTGTGCCTAAGAAATAAGGAGATGATCTGAAAGCGGCCCTGAGGCTGCAGTGGTAGGAAGTGGAGTTGGGAAGGAGGGATAGGTTCATCAGATGGAAATCCTCGACTGTGAATTCGGGGAGTAAGCTCTATTCACTTGGCATGGCAGTGATGTGAGAAAAAAAGAGTTAACATGATGCAGAGTAGTGCTTTAGAGGTAATTATGAGCTACATGTATATGCAGGATGGACTGAAAGGAGAAGAGATTGGAATCAGGACACTAACAAGCTGGCTATTTTGACAGACTGGGCACGGGCAAATAAGGCCTCAACAAGGATGTGAATTGGACTGGAGTGTGAGCTCATATCTGACTCATAATTTTTATGATTAAGGAAGAATTCTAAGACTTGCTAACTGGATGTGAGAACCGGGTATGTTTGTTCCTGTTCTTCTCGTGAGAGAATGTAAGGTGTGTGTGCACACAAACACATGGGCGTGCCGGTCCGCGAACACAGGGGGCAGGGGAAGGAAGACAACTGAGAGAACCAGAAAGTTGAAAAGAAAGAGAAGATGGAAATAGACAGTTGAAATGAAAACCAGGTTATAATTTGAGTTGGTTATGTTCTAAATCTTGGTGAGTCAGTTATTTGGAATTTATGACTCATTTTCCCACAGAAACAATGTTAGAAAGGGCAGACTGACCAGCAAGTCTACAGGAACCATAATGTGACAGGAGCAGCATATATTTACTTGAAAAATAATACTGTTGCAATCCTGTTAATGAAACCAAATAGAATAGGGAATTAGAAGTGCTTGAGGGGCTGTTTTCCTCTTCCAAGGCTGCCTGTTTCTCCCTGCAGCCAGAAGCAGATGCTGATTTGTGTTTTCCTCTGCCCTTCCTGCCCCCACTTTACTCAAGATTGACCTCTGTCTAGAACTTTTGCACTAGCGTAAATTTCCATCTCAGGCCCTTCTGATTTCAACCTTTTCTTTCTTTGCTCCCTCCCAACATTCACCGCATTCGCAGAATGGGTAAGGCATTGGGTTTAGTGAGAGGGAAATACAGAGACTGCCCATGGAGGCTTACACCCTCGCGGAGGAGAGACCGTAAAAGGATAAAGAAACAAAAGCTAAATCACAGAGTTCTAAAAAAGGCAAGCAAGGTGCTGGGGCAGGGAATGGTATAGTGGGATAGCGGAAGTATTTAGAATATAATCTCTTCTAAACCAGCCAGGTACAAAACTGGGAGTTACCAAGAGAAACTCGTCAGACTCTTTCCTACTCCATCCCACCAGATCAGGGAAGGCAAGAACGGTCCTTTGCCCCTTCTCTCCCTCTGTCTCTCTTTCCTGCCAACTGTGGGAGAGGAAACCAGGTTTCCTATGCCAGAAGACATACTTTCTTAGGAAAGCAATTAATAGATTGAGCATCTAAAATTGGCCCACGTTATCTGGATAGAATTCTTCTGGTCTGTATTCTTTTACACTAAAGAACAGAATTATGAATTATTCTCTTCGTTAGGCCATTAATGAAAACTTGGTTGTTAGAAGTAACATCCTTTCAGGACTGATCTTTACCATTTTTGGAAAAGCTTTGAAAACAGGAAAAAAAATGAAAGTGTGTATTCGATGATGCAAAGAAATGAATACTCTTCCATTGTGTGTGGATGCTGCATATAAGTATTTATAATGAATGATTTGGCCCCACTAAAAAGGACATGTTCACTTTATTTGTTCTATAATGTGACAGCCAAGAAAACTAATGGAGCTTAAGTTGGAAGGACAGAAGCTCTTAGAAAAATGCTTTAAAGCTAATTAAACACAGCTTATAGCAGCTGGATGATGACTCATCCCTGTAAGCAGATGGATAAATATGAACACTAACTGCTGGAATGCAAATTGAGGACAAAGGCTGTATTTCATTGGGAAAGGATTATATTGTCTAAAGTGGAATTACATTCTAACGGCTATACTTTGAATTTTAAAGCCTAGTATTGGTCAGTCCTAATAGTAGTTTAGCCGCAAAGGTAATTTACTTTCTAAGTGGCAAGTTATATATACCTGACTTCAATCCAGGTGACTGTAAACTCCATTCTAACACTTGGTGAACCTATTAGAGTTGGTTTCAACCATGTAATGCTGTGTTGAAGGACTGTATAATCTTGTCACTCACTCAACAAACATTTACTGAGTGTCCGCTTTGTACCAGACATTATATTACTCAAGGAGAATGTGAAGATTAATTTGTCACGGCCATGCCCTCCAGCAGTCATGAGCCAGCAGATGACAGTGTAGTGGAAATGTTAGGGAGATAGGCACAGGGGATCTTGTGAAGTTGGAGAAGATGTGTATAACCCTAAATGAGTTCGGGACCATCTGAGCCCAATTCATTCTTCTTTTCTTTTCAATAATAGCATTATTGAGATATAGTACACATACTGTATGTTTCACTTGTTTAAAGTATACAGGCATATGTTGCTAAACAAGGTACTCTCTTAGCCAAATTCTGGAACATAAATAGGACTTGGCTCGTTGTTTGGCCTGGCAAGGCAGAAACCTGTAGTATGTTCCAAAATGTAGAAGTAAAAAAAAAAAAAAAATCATGATACTTTAGAAAAAGCTGATTCTAGTTCAGGCTGCTTAGGAGATGGAAGGAAGGAATGGGATAGAAATACAAGATGAGGTTGTGGGTGTAGGTAGCAGCCCTGTCTGTGTCGTTCGAACTTAAATCCGAGAATAGTGGGATCTTTTCAAAGGTTTCAAGTAGGTGAATTGATCAGATTCAGAAAGTTTGAGAAAGATCACTCTGACAGCAGAATAGAGAATGGATAAAGGTGAGCCAAGGTATAGAGGACCGAGCCTGGCAGCCGGCTAGCTGAGCTCTGTCCCCTGCAGTTACAACCAGGCCAGGAACATTCAGAGTGCGGGGCAGGGCGAATGGGACTGATTTGAAATGAACTGAAGTGGAACCAGCAGAGCTTGAGGATTAATTGGATGTGGCACTTAAGATGAAAAAGGTTGATTTTCAAAGTCCTACCTCATGGATGATGA